CCCCCCACCCAGACCAACCTTCTAGTATTATCCAATTTGGTACATTAATACGTGTTCCTAACTTTCTATGCTGATACCATCTTTTTTTTTTTTTTTTTTCCTCATAAAAGCTGTCTTTTCCTCATTGGGAGACGGCTGTATATATATCTCTCTCAATTTCTGATATTTCCTATCTTTTTGTTGGAAAATAAAGAAAAAAAAAGTGAGGTCAAAATTATTACTTCTTCAAGCCAAGATGCCGGCTTCATCCAGGGTACACTGTTGTCGGAACATAAAAGGTGGCTTGTGTGCATCCGTGCCGACTTCTCCGGAGGGTGTGTTGTGTTCGGGGTAAGAGGGTAGCAAGCATATACCTTGAACGCTAGGCAACATCTCTGCTCCACTTGCATCAGAGCTAGCTGAGTCTGAACTGGAAGTAGAGGAGCTGGAGCTAGTGCTAGTGTCAGAATCGCTGTCGGAGCTGGAGGCGCTGGAGCTTGTTTCCTGTTGAGCTGCTCTAGGATTCGGCGGTGCTTCTTGTTTCTTCTGACGCTTTGCATGCAGCGGTTCTCGTTGCACTGTTTTTTCCAATTCGCCCTTGTGCAGTAACTTGTCTGCTTCTCCTCCCCCAAATTCCGCATTGGCGGATGGCGCAACCTCCTCTTTCCCTCCTCCCTCATTCGCTATTGTTCGTACAATTGTCGCTACACTCTTCGTCATCTTGCCCGAAAAAGCGCCACCTTGCTTCTGACCATCTGGACTCTGATCTGCCGTGGAGAGTTTCACAGACACGCCTCCATCATCACTCCCACTCCCACTGCCGCTTCCACTCTCAAGCTCACTTCTGTCCTCAGTCCCACTTTCACTATTCTCTCTGCCGACTCCTTCCTTTTTCCCAGAGGACTCAATTCCGCCCATATGCTGGTGAAGCGCATGTTGTCGATCACGCGTCTCTTGTCTCTGTCTTCCTTCCTTCATTGTCGGTTCACCTCTGTCTTCCGATGCCAAGGCACCTCCCTCAGCCCCAGATTTCCCCATTTTCATCTCATGCTCTCGTATTCCCTGAGTAGCATGCTGCGACGGCGCCAAAGGAGACGCACGAGTTGGCACTGGCGGTGCGACTTTGCCTCGCCTACCTTTCTGATCCAAGTCAGAATCCTCGCTCCCACTCCTGCTGCTGCTCGAGTTTCCAGAACGTCCACAACCTTTCTCAGTTCCTGTCTCTTTCTCTGGCTTATTCTTCGTGACGCACTGCGCTGTTGCAGGAGACGTTAGGTGCTGCCCATCCTTCAACAGGGGGAACTTTTTTCCTCCCAACGCTTCCTCATCAGACTCAGAACTTGATCTGCAGCTATTACTGTCCGAGTTCGTGCTGCACACCCCACCCTTACCTGTCGTCCCCTTGGCAACCACCTGCTCCCTCCCTTCACCCCCCGTCTTGTTCGTTTCTCTCACGGCTTGACTAGCGCCGTCCACTTGTTCCGCCTTGACATGCTTCCTCTTCGCAGGGGATCCATGAGTCACTTCGGATGGCTTCTTGCCAGTCAGTTCGCTTCCCATCACGTCCTCCATGGCATTCCCAACTCCGTTCTCCATCGAAACACTGCCAGCCATCATGGAACCTTGTCCTCGTTCCAGTGTCTCCGGTCCCATCTTGCCAATCTTCCTTCGCATAATTTCAGCACCTGCTACTCCTGCAGTGCTGCCGCTTCTAGTTGCCCCTCCTCCCCTCTCTTCGCTCCCACGACTGCTTGCCTCCATTTGACCTCTTCCCCCCCCCCTGTCTTTTGCATCCACCTCTTGAAAATGCACGGCGCTCTCAGCAATCATGCTGCCAGTGACCCTTGATTTCTCTGGTGTACCTGCCTTTTCAGCATCACCCTTCTCTGGTTTCAACGTCTCCATGTGAGTCCTGCTACTCCCACCCTTCACCCACTTCAAGCTCGCCAAATCCTTATCTGATAGTCCGTTAGACACTCTCATGATCTTGACTACAGGCCCATCAGTACCTCCTTTAGATGGCCCAGATTTCTCCTTTGTGACAATGCCTTCGCTCCCTTCCTTACCCCCCTCCAGAGCCCACTTATGGGCCCCTACCTCCTCTCCGCGCCCTTCTCTCTCTCCCTTGCCACGATTAGTTTCACACCTGGCACCAACTTCAGCCATCTCGCCTCCTTTCCCTTTGTTCCCGGAAGTCGATGCCGCCGCTTCCTTATCTACCTTACTACCCCTTTTACGGCCCTCTTTACCGCCACCATTCTCCGTCTCATTGTCACCTGACATCAAATCCACCTCCTTGCCTTCTTCATCCTGTCCCTCTCCCCTCCCGTCAGTCTCTTTCCCCTTCTTGTGCTTCTTCCTCTTCACTTCCTTTCTCTCACCTTCTGACTGTTCAACTCCTAACACGGAAGGAGGTCCATTATGTCCCTTCTGATCTGGTGCCAACTTTTCCCTGCTACCAGAACCTTCTGTAACCTTCTCAGATCCGTTGTCATAGGGAGTAGTTTGGGTGCCCTCCTTATGTTTCTTTTTTCCAGACCTCTTATGCCCCTGTTCAACTACACCATCATCTGCGCCTTCATCTCCTGACTTTGCGCCCATTCTCTCTTCCCCTTTCTGATGCTTAGGTCCCCTTTCCTTGTCCTTGGGAGTAGTTTCCGCCCCCTCCTTATCTTTCTTCTTACCTGATTTTCCGGACCTCTTATGCCCCTGTTCAACTACACCGTTGTCCGCACCTTCATCTCCTAACATACCATCCACTCTCTCTTCCCCTTTGCCACACCCAGGTCCTTTCTCCTTCTCCTTGGGAGTAGTTTCACCCCCCTCCTTATCTTTCTTGTTGCCTGATTTCCTGGACTTCTTCTGCCCCTGTTCATCACCACCTCCGTGTGTGCCTTCATCTCCTGACCTCAGATCCACTGCCTCTTCCCCTTTGTCATGCCCCCCACGCTCGCCTTCCCAAGCCTCCTCCTCCTCCTCCTTCCCCTCCCTGTCAGCCTCTTTCTCCTTCATGTGCTTTTTCTTTTTCTTCTTGCGATTAGCTTTTGCCTCATCTGCTCCCGACAGGACTCCTTCATTTCCCTGCTCATCGTCTTCACCTTCATCTCCTTGCTTTTCCTGTCGCAGCTTCCCCTTCCTCCCCTCGTCTTCTTCAACCTTTGCAGATGCAGATCCCTTTACCCTGTTACTACTTGGAGTGGTTTCAACGCCACCACCTTTTTGCTCTTTATCTTTATCTTTCTTCTTACCTTCTTTTCTGGGTCTCTTGCCGCCCTCTTCAGCTACACCAGCGACTGCATCTTCTTCCCCTGATCTCAAGTCCAACTCCTCGACCTGGTTTCCACTTCCACCTTCATCTACCCGATACTCCTCTCTCGCCCTCTTCCTGTCAACCTCTTCCCCTTTCGAGCGCTTTTTCCTCTTTTCTTTCTTCTTGGCCTCATCTTTTGCCTCCTCGGCTCCTGCACATGATGACTCCATTCGGAGCTTGACAGTCCGCCAACCATCTTCGCCTTGATCTTCCTGATCCTCACCTGCCGTTTTCCTCTTGCTCCCACCACTCTTCCCAACCCTCTCTTCTCCCTTCTTTCTCCTATCAGTAGCGGTTCCGGCTGCTGCCTCTTTGTGTCCGTCCACGTCCGCTTCTCTAGGTTTCTCATGACCCTCTGCAACGCCTGCTTCATCACTTGCAATGTCGTCTTCAGACATCAAATCCACCTCCTCTGCTCCCTTGTCGTATCGCCCCCCCTCATCTTCCTGACCCTCTTCTCCCTGGCCCTTGCCGCCAGTCTTCTTTCCCTCTGCACGCTTTTTCTTCTTTTCTCGTTTCTTGCTCTTGCCTTCTACATCGTTCTCTGATAAACCTGAGTGCAGAGCTTTTCCCTCGCCGTCTTCACACTTACCATCCTGATCGTCCCCCCGGTTCTGCTCGGTTCGCTTCTTCTTCTTCTTTCCTCGTTTCTTGCTCTCGCGTTCCACCTCGTTCTCTGGTGAAACCAAACGGAGCCCATCTCCCTCACCGTCTTTAAGCTCACTACCTTCCTGATCTTTCCCCCCCTTCTGCTCAGTCTCCCCCATGCTCATGTACCTCTCTTTCTTTCCTCGCTGCTTCTTGATCTTGCCATCTTTTACCTCCTCTTTCTCCTCATTCTTCCCTTCTCCTCTGCGTTCTGTATCCTTCACTGCACCGTTCCCATCTAACCCCTCCTCCAACTCCTCAATCCTTGCATTATCATCTGCTACTTTAACCTCATCCAGCGACTTTTTCTTCTTCTTCTGCTTCATCTTTTGCACCCTTACGTTCCCGACCAGATCCCTGTCTTCGTCACTGCAAGCCGGCCCCGCTACTCCCCCTCCTCCCAATCGTTTCCCGGGAACGTCATCATAGGCATTGCCTGCCATTTTATCAATGGCAGGCTGAGCTTTGCTCTGGTCATCTTCCCTGCATTTGTCTGGATTACCGTCAGAGGCAGGGCCAGCACTGTCATCTTCATTCTGTTTCTGCTTCTTTTTCTTTTTCTTCTTCTTTTTGGCCACAGATTCATCATCTTCCCCACCTCCCTGAAGACAATCCTTTTCCCCCTCAGCAATTTTGACATTCTTCTCTGTCTTTGCCTCCCCCTGACTTGAGGCACCACCATGCTTGTTACCTTCCTTCCTTCCTACTTTCTCCTCTGCCTTGCCACTAGATTTTAACACCCCTCCCTGCAACAATCCCTGTTGCTCTTCTTCCTCCTTACGATCAGCAGTTTTGATGTTCTCCTCCGCCTTTGCCTTGTCCTGAATTGATTCCCCAGCATGCATGTCACTGACCTCCTTCCCACCAGAAGCCTCTTCTATTCTTTTCTTTTTCTTTGAACCCTTCGCTTCCAAAGAATCAGCTCCTTTCTTTCGCTTCTTTTTGGCACTACGATCCACCTCTCCCTGGTCAGTTTCTCTCTTTCCCTCTTCTCCACCTCCTTTCATTACCTGCTCGGACAAACTCCCTTGCGTGGGGTCAGTTGCTCCTCCATCCTCTCTTCCATCGGATGCACCCTCCGGAGCACAATGATCCGGGGCGCCTGGACCAGCAGCATAAGGAGGCCGGCGATGATCGGCCGCAACACGCTCCGCTGCTCTGTCAACGATAGAAAGGTCGCCAGCATCAGAATGCTGCTTTGGCCGCTCGGGGACATGTCTCGACCCATCCCCCACAGCTTCGTTCCATAGGCTCAGACCAAGGTCATTCTCCAGGCGTCTCTGACGTGCAGCTGCCTCAACCCTCTCAGCATCCTCCAGACTTGCAGAGCCCTCTTGTTCTTCTCGCCTTGCAGAACTCCCTTGTCGAGTTGGGCTCAAAGAGCTCCCTTGTTCTGGGGATCGGCTGTCTCTTCGTAGGGTAGGAATCGACCCCACATTGGGCGCATGGTTATCCTGATGGCGAGGCAAAGGGAAGGGTAAAGAGGGAGCGTTTGGTGCCAAAAATGCCCACAACTTGATGTTGGGTTCGCCAATCTCACCCAAGGTATACATGACCGGGACCCTGTAGAGTGTTCCATTTACTTCCGTCTGGACAGACACAATTGGTCACAACCAACGATTGCAAAGACGGGTAAGAACAGGGGACAATGGTCTCCAAAACCATAGGTTAAGGGTTAGAATCCCTTTCCTCACGTAATGAACCATGTGCAAACGTGGCCGATCGTATGCAACATACTTTAGGATACCGAACTCGTCCCCAAAGTCGAGTCTACACACTGCGGCAACTTGATGCCACTATATAACTTCCACACTATTTGGAACCATCTCCAAATATAGAAAATCACAAGACAGGCAGGAGTTAGGAGCTGGGTACTTCTTCCCGCACAGAGCAGAGTTAGGTATGTGGATAGACCCATAACCTTGGGATAGTCAAGGTTAAGTTAGTAGATTTAAGGTACTAGTGTCGACTGGATTAGAAGTGACCAAGTAGGTAGCGCTTGGTAGACCGATAACCCTTAGGATTGTCTCCTTGGCTCAGGGTACATTATGTAGTGTGAGGTTAAAAAAAGAAGGATGAGAGAAGAAAACAGAGCAGTACAAAATGCAACTGTCCCCCCGATGAGGAGACGACAGTCTGCTATTCTTCCTCTTAAAGAAAATAAACATCACAAGACAGCAAAAGGGTGCGCTCACAGGGAAAGCAAGTTTTTCGCAGATGCTGCACAGTAAGAAACCTCTTAGCTGACCCCTTTTGCAAAGGGCTCTTTCCCCTCCTTCCCCTCCTTCCCCTACTATATCCTACCACGTCTTAGCTGACCCCTTTTGCAAAGGGCTCTTTCCCATACTTCAGCTCTTTCCCCTACTTTCCCTTCTTCCCCTACCATCCCCTACTACCACCCCCTACCTTAAACACTATTCCCTGCATTGCCCTACCAGGGTTTATACCCACGTGGGTATACATGGGTATAGGCAGGTTTATACGCACGTGGGTATATGCGGGTATAGGCAGGGTTGTACACACGTGGGTATGTGTGGGTTCATACCCACCCACGCATAGCATTATACCCTCCTTGCCCCCCCCCAGTTCCCCACATTCCCCTAATTATCTCCTACTATTCCCCCCCTAGAACATGGGAGAATACACCACCACATTTGTTATCTTTTGTGCATGTAGATAGTGCAGCAAGCCCCCATGTCTATCTACTCTACTCTACTCCATGCAGGGAGTAGTGAAGGACGGCAGGAACAAGGGTGCAGCCTCCCCACAAGCTCGGATCACAAAGCATGGGGCGCCTGTGAAACCCCAGCTCCTGCCAAGCCGTCCAGGGGGAGCTACCATCTTCCCCCGAACATAACGCAACCTAAAAATGAATAAATACAAGCTATATTTCTGGCCAGGTACAGCCAAAATGAGGGTGCGTTGTGTTCGAGGGACGACAGTAGTCAACTATACTCACCTGGTAAACACCAAGCCTCCCCCGCAGGCGCCGTGAAGGACTGAACCCACAGCCTCCTGAATACCACTTGCATGCTCGACCGAGATAGGTTGCTGGCCGTTCTTTAGTTGTCATTTTAATGAATTAATTAATTAATCGATTATCTTATCCATTCTCCGATTGCTTTTGTTCATTCTTCGTGTTCATCCAGTCCCCACTCGGAGCATACTCACACTAGCACTATCGTAARCGTAGCTGACCATAATTATGACCACACCTGGATGAAAAAAGAAAGAAAAAAATATGAGCGCATTGAGTATGCCCTCAATCCCTTGAAATGGACAGACGACTTTGGACCTAAGCTTTTGCAATGTAACTGCTCCAATTTTGTTGACTTCAACGGGAATCCCTTTCAGTCTCAAGCGTTAGCCCTTGCAGAATGCTACAATAACAGTAGGGTTTTTTTGGGTGGTGGTGCTGGTGTGTTTGCATGTGTGTGTGTATGTTGAGGGAGGGGGGGGGGGGGGGGGGGGGGGGGGGGGGGGGGGGGGAAGGGAGGGAGAAATTCGGACACCTTGAAGCATGCCACATGAAGATGCGCCAGATTCGGATTCAACCACTTGTGACTTTCCGTAGCCCTCTCTGCCCATTCAGGAGGTCATTGCCAATTCAAAAAGAAAAGCCAAAAAAAAAGACAAGGGAAAACAAAAAACGAGGTCGTCAGACAAAACAGACACAAAATATATAGGCTTAGGAGTAGTGGTAGGTAGATAGTGAAAGGTGAAATTGAGAGAAGAATGTAGCGTAGTTTTACATAAAAGAAGAAGAAAAAAAAAAATATATATATATATATATTGACAGTCGAAAGATGGGACCAGAGTCTCTCCCTAGCCCAAGACGGTCTTTTCTTTAGCATATTATTATTATTTATTAAACCACCAATACCTTGCGGGTCCGGGTGAGGGTTGGCAAAAACAAAATATTTGGGCTTTGTGGGCCCGATCGAAGAAAAAGAAAAGAAAAAGAAAAGAAAAAGCAAAAAAAAGAAAAGAAAAAGAAAAGAAAAAGAAAAGAAAAAACTTCAAAAAAGAAAAAAAAAAAGAACAAAAAAAGAAACTGCAGAGTTGAAAGGAAGGACGTCGGGGGAAAGCCAAGAAAGAAGTGTGCTCACAGCAGTGCCTCCAGGAATGCATCTGCCCAGAATCATCGATAGTTTCATTTTTTATTTTTTTTTGTGTTTTTTTATTTTTTTCTTCCAAGTTAGTTTTAGTGCCCTGCCGATGAGGCAGGGCTCTTTCCACGGACAACTGACACTTGCAACCGACGGGGCACTCACATGTACTAAAGATTCTGTATCCAGCTGCTTTTACGTCCAAAGAGTTGTTGATGTTTTTGTTTCTTTTTTTTTTCCGTACAGCCGTGTGTGCTGAGGGCTGTAACGCCGGTTGGGAGGGCATACGCTCACTTGTGCCCAATGTTCTATATCCAGCTGCTTTCACGTCCAAAGAGTTGTTGTTGTTTTTACTTTTTTTTTCCCGTATTGCCGTGTTTTGCTGTGGGCAGTAATGTCCTTTGGCAGACTCTCACGTGTACCCAACGTTCTGTATACGTCTTTTCTTTTTTCCTTTTCTTTGGTTTCTTTTTTTTTTTTTCCCCGACGGGTACTAGAAAAAAGAATACAATGGGACCCGACCCAGGCCCGGCAAAACTCGGTGCGCATTGAAATTCAGGGTCGGCAAAACCAGGCTCGGAGGTAGTGGTTTAAACTTTAAAGCTATTTATTAATCAACAATTGATTACATACCTGCTTAGAGTGTTGACATCTTCAAACCTACTAAGCAAGGAGGCTTAACCTCAAAAGTCTTGTGGAGTAGCATAAATACCTCCTCCATGCTAACCAAGGGTGCTAACCCTGGTTAGCCTGTGTTGCTAAAAATTCTCCGTACCTACTCTACTCCACAGGTTACCAGTTGGACTTGCCCTTCAAATTGACCGAACCATGTTGCAGTAGACGTTCAAGATGGCCCTACATCCCTCAGGCCAACCAGGGCGTAAATACCCCCTCTATGCTAACCAACGGTCCTAACCCGGGTTAGCCTGTGTTGCTAAAAATTCTCCGTACCTACTCTACTCCACAGGTTACAAGTTGGACTTCTTGCGCAGTTGGCCATCAAATTGGCCGAACCATGTTATGGAAGTTCAAGGTGGGCTAAGTACTGCAGGCCAACCGGGGCGGCTAACCCTGGTTCAAATCCTCCTGCCTACTTTCCTTCACAGGTTATTGTGTGGTTGCCCTTCGTTCAGGCCATCCCTACATCCTCATTCAGGCTCACCAATGATGGTTACTGCCCTGGTTCGCATGTTGAGGTCTTGATACCCTACTCTAATCCACAGGTCACACGGTTGTGTCCTGCACATCGAACCCTCCATATCAAACCAGATCACGTAGACAAGTCCAGGGTAAGCAGACCTCCTCCAGGGTAATTAAGTAGGCAAACTACCCTGGTTAGCCTGGTGAGATCTTCACGCCACACATTGAACATTGCAAGGTTGCCCTTAGTATCTACTCCACAGGTTGCAAGGTTGCCCTTCATACCAACGCGACCATGTTCAACAAATCCAGGCTAACCCTGAACAAGAAGAATCACGATAACAACAACAACAAGAAAAACGCAGACCCTAGATTGAACCAGGGAAGGCCAATGAAAGCGTTCGTGCTGCATGACATCTTGTTGGCAACCCCAAGCCAAACAGTACTGTCCGCATCCTGTTGGGTTCCTGCCATAGCTTATGGTGGTACCTGCAGTAGCTTATGGTGGTATAGTGGCACCTGCCATAGCTTATGGTGGTACCTGCTATCTTGTTGGTGCCACGATATGCTTTGGTGGTACCTGCCATAGCTTATGGTGCTACCTGCCACAGCTTATGGTGGTACCCCCCAAGCCAAACAGGACTGTCTACATCCTGTTTGGGACATTCCATAGCTATGGTGGTACCTTCTGTCTTGTTGGTGCGACCACAAGCTTTGGTGGTACATACCATCTTGTTGGTACCCCCAAGCCAAACAGGACTCTCTGCATCCTGTTTGGTACCTACCTGCCATCTTGTTGGTACCACCATAAGCTTTGGTGGTACCTGGCATCTTCCGTGGTACCTTCTATCTTGTTGTTGGTACCACCATGAGCGTCTTTGGTGGCACCTACCATCTTCCGTTGGTACCACCAAGCCAAACGTGACTGTCTGCTTTGACTGTCTATACACTCCAGTTTGCCACTTTTGGTACGTGCTATCTTGTTGGTAACATCATAAGCTTTGGGACCACAAAGGTCATTCGGTCTTCTGCTTACTGGTACCCTACATCTGCTGATACCTGGAATCCGCCTCCCCTTGAATTTCTTCTCGTCCTTATTTCCTGTGTGTCTGTTGACGAAGTTCAGCCTGACCTTTGTGGTACCAACAAGATTGCAATTACCCCACCAGAAGTTGTGGCGGGCACCAAACAGGATGCAGACAGTCAAGACAGTCCTGTTTGGCTTGGGAATTACCACCAAGATGGCATGTACCACCAAAGTTTATGGTGGTACCAACAAATTAGCATAGCAGGTATCACGATAAGCTATGGCAGGTCCTAAACAGGCTGTAGACAACCCTTTTTGGCTTGGGGGTCCGTATCTGAGTTTCCTCTTCTTGCACCCTTTCCCCCCTCCCCACAGGGCCACAGGTTCTCTCCCCTCCTTCCCTCCCCTCCCCACGAGCTCTCTCTACTTCCACCATCTCATTTGTGTGCCTCCGACACGGGCTGTACACACATCGTCTGTGCAGCGGGCCTCTATCTGCCCTGGCCTACAGCCAGGGCCTATTCAACTATTTGCCTGTTCGGCCTGTCCAGTCCAATCAGTCCGCTGGGGGTATACCCCAGCTGCAGTCTGTATTTCGATGATCCTTCACTTTGCACATTTTGGAGTACGTGCGTGTTGAGTCTGCGTCGGCGCTCTACCTCCTCCTTCGTCAACCGTCCATCTCCATCCTGACGGTCCGCCATCCCGACGGGTCCGCCACACGGGTATCAGAGCGGGAACATTCCCTGCTCCCGCCCACCACACCACGAGCAAAAACGGTGTAAACCTGACAGCAGGTTTTCGAGCTGTTTTTCGGTCGATTTGAGAGAAAACAGTGGGAAAAAAACGAAGAAAGGTGCAGCAGCAAGGGAGTGACACGTGGCGAGAAAAGACAGCGGTTCGTCATGACACGTGCGCAAACGCCAAGATCAAGGCCGCCGCACACGCACGCGCCCACGCTGCCCCACCCCGCCCCGCTCCCAGATTAGTTATCAAGATCCAGGATGCATACTGTTGCCAGGGTTTGAACCTGGGCAGCTGCTGGCCTTGCACACGTGTCGCCAGTGCTGCAACACACTGGCCGAAGTGTTTGTATGGCTTAGTAATGTGGCATGCTGGTGTTGAAGAAGTACTGTGCCAGCTATTTACCCCCCCACATCGTGGCTGCTGCTGGGTGCACCCGTGGCCGTCTGCAGCTGCACGTGGCAGCTTGCCATGGAGCGTGAAGACCCCCCTGGCTAGGGGGCTGCAGTACAAGGAGATCTGGGTGGCTGATCAAAATCTCAGCCCACCCAGATGATGATGATGATGACGATGATGATGATGATCTCGATCTCTCCTACTGCTGCCACAGCACCTTCGCAGCAGTGAAGACCCCCCTGGCTAGGGGGCTGCGCAGTGCAATCAGGGTGGCTGATCATGATCTCAGCCAACCCTTGATGATTCCATTATTATTTTATTTTTTTCTCTGCTGCGGCTGCAGGCTGCCAGCATCTTCAAGGCCAACATCCAGTGGATCTTGGTGATCTTGTTGCTCTTGGCCAACCAAGAGCCTAGTATCATCTCTCCCCACTAACCTACTCTCCTTCCCCTTCCCTCCCTCTCTCTCCCCTACACCATCTCATCACCCTTTTCTAACTCTACCACTACTCCGTTCTCCCACCCCCCTCTCCACTCACCATCTTCTACTATCTCTTCTACCTCTCCCCACCTTTCCCATCCCTTTCTCTCCCATTCTCTCACCCTCCTCTTCCCCTTCTCTCCCCTAGCTACAACCCCATCATTTCTCTCCTTTTTCTTCATCACCTCTTCATCCCCCTCCCCCCCAACTTCGATTTTTTTTTCCCTTCTTTTGTCTTTCTTTTTTATTTCAATTTCCTTTTTAAAAACAAGGAAAGAAAGGAATGATCTTATCCTCTACTTCCTTTCCCATTCAAATTTCGTTTTTTTTCTGCGGCACCTCTAGATATGTTTAGGACTTAGTTATTTCAGCTCTCGGCGCAAATTTTGACCCCGTGAGGGTAACGAAGTGCTGCCAAAATTTTCTCTTTTATCCCTACTCTCCCATCTTACTTAGTCATATCTTTTGCCAGCACACTTCGACCCCATGGGGGTAACAAAATGCTGCCAGAATTTTTAAAAAATAAAACACTTAGTTTTTCTTCACTCTCCACCTCCCCATTTTTTTTATTTTTTTCATTTGATTATTCCTTATTTATTATATCTCTGAAAATTATCATTTGCGACATTGTGAAATTGAGGGTGCTTCCCTTGGTCTCTCCTTCCTCTTGGCATATTTTTGAC